GCTAATTGTGAATGTTCCTGGGAGATTTAGTCCACAAACATCTGGGGAAACCCAAGGTTGGGAACTACTGGCTTGGACTTTGGCTTTTGTAGGGGTTTTTTTGTGGCATCTTCTTCAAGTTTCATGTGTTTTAAAGAATAATGGCAATGCCCTAGATCAGTGGTCCCCACCTTGGGCCTCCAGGTGTTCTTGAACTACAACTCCCAGAAGCCTTCACCACCACCTCTGCTGGTCAGGATTTCTGGGAGTTGAAGTCCAAGAACATCTGGAGGCCCAAGGTTGGGGACCACTGCCCTAGAGCCAGTGCGTTGAACTACTGAATCAATGCAATTTCTGTATTTCTTTATCACGTATTCAATGGGTCTATTCTGCTTGAGAGTAGGCCAACAAGAACCCCTGCTCAAAACTCATTAGCTACTAAGGCTGATACCTATAACTGAAGAAATATGCAGATTTATCCCTCTTTTTGCAATGCACTATCTGACATCTTTGTCCTGTTTCTCCTTCAACAACAACAAAAGTCTTCAGAAATAAAACAAATTATTATAGAATACTTCCAAATTCAGATTGGATGAGAGAATCAAAAGCATAATAAATTACGAAAGAAATGAAGGGCGTCTGCCCAATTTGGCAGATGATTGGTGGTCTTTGGCCTGAATTATCTACACTTAACAATCATTATATAAATTATTTCCCCATCAGATAAGGAAAGTAAACAAGAAAAACAAATGTTCAAGCTGTCCTCTGGTTCCAGTTTGCTATGAGAACAGTTAATTTGCCTTGAATTAAATGGCATTATTTATAATTTGGAAGAAAATGTAGCAAATAAATAGAGAAATTATTGGCTGAAATTTTGTTCCTTAATGTAGTAAATTGTACTAGAATAGGCCAATTGAGTTAGTAGGGATTTGGTCAATCCACTCTTCCATAAGCTCCATTGATTTAAATGGGCCTACTCTAATTACAAATTCTTTTAGCAACAATGGATGTTGTTTAATGAATGAGATCATGTGGTTTATATACTTCAAAGTGTCTATCACAGCATAACTCAAAGGAAAGATACAATGTTCGACCATATATAAAACATTACCCTACAATATTTGCACACATAGCTCTTTATGCCCAACATCACTATTTTAAGTTCTTTAATATTCTAAGAACCAGTTAAAGATGTTTATAGCACTCATGGTTCCAGAAAAAATTAAAATTATAAATTATTTTGTTTATAATGAAAAAAAACTGTTATTCTCCCAAGAAAGCTGAATTTTATTTTAAAAGGAAATGCAAATAATGACTACAGTGGACAACAAAAGGTTAGGCCACTAAGTTAAAACATTACAGAGTGAAACTGTGTTCTCAAATGATTTGAGTGTCCTTTATGTGCAAATAAATATATCTGACCTATAGCAGATTAACATCTAGATTCATATAAAAGCTAAAGGATAGCAGGACTGGCCAGAAGAAAAATGCCAAAATGCATATTGTAGTAATACGTTTATTAGGCAAATTCACATTATGCAGATTGTTAAGCACTGTTTATTTATCTCATCAGTTTTGTGAACAAGACGACAATTTATATGTTTCAAAAAATATATTGCTGAAACATCAATGAGGGAAAGCAGATGGGGTTTCCTACACTTCAGCCTTGCGAAGTGCTTCAGGTTTTCAGAAAGTTTTGTGGGTGGGTTGGAAAACATACTGCTGTTGTTTCAACTTATATACCTCCCCATATGCCAGAACACTATCTTAGGTAGTTTACAACATTATTGTGCAAGGAACACCTCTCTCTCTCTCTCTCTCACTCACTCACTCACACACACAGCTGGGTACTCATTTTACTGACCTCAGAAGAATGGAAGGCTGAGTCAGCTTTAAGTCATTTACCTGAACTCATCAGGACTGAACTCAAATTGTGAGCAGAGGCTTGACTGCAGTACTGCAGTTTAACCACTGTGCCAGAGGGCTCAATTAATTTTGGATGCTATGCAATGAACCACTATGAATTGTATTTTTTCACACTTTTTTCCTGTATGTTTTCAGGCATTTAGTTTCCTGCTGTGCTCTGTAGCAGTATTCCAGTAAGTAGAGTAGGACACCCTTATCTGCGGGATCAGTATCTGCTAATTCACTTACCTACAGTCTGAAAATATTAAAAATATTAAAAGAAAAAAACCCTCAATATATATTTATAATGATGAAGTTCCCAGAACTGGCCACTAGAGGCAGACAGATAATGTAACTACAGTATAGTATTCACTATTATAATAGTATTTGCTATAATCCACGTTTTTCAACATCCACAAGAGGGCTTGAAACCAATCTTCCACAGATATGGGAGTCCTACTATACAATATATTCAACTTCAGGCTGATGCATTTCACATGTGTCTCTAGTAGGTGCTGCCATTTTTGCAAAGGTACCCTCTTCCTGACCAGGTCCTTATTTGCACTTCCAGTCTAACCAGCTACATCCTTCACTCTGCCACAAGATCCTTGCCTTCAGCAAACAACAACTATTATTATGTGCCATCAAGTCAATTTTGAGTTGTGATGACCCTTTTCAGGCTTTTTTAGGTATTTGATTTAAAATATTTTTACCCCAGCTTTCTCCTTTAAAAGCAGCCAAGGTGTGTTACATCACTAAAAGACAAAATGTAAAGCTAAAAACAGTATGTAAATACTGTAGTAAAAAGGATTAAACAAATACCACACTAAAAAAGTAAACAAAGCAACAACATCTGTTTGATTTGTGTCCAGTATACATTACTCAGAATTTGTTTACCATTCTCTTCTTTTGGAGCACTCTAGGACTGTGCTTCTTGCCCAAGGCTACACAGGCCGACTCATCTCCCAGGAAGCATAAAGGAAGTGTGCATAATTTAATGGAATGTCTACCCAGAAGTAAGTCACACAGAGGTCAGTTAGGCTTTCTACTAGGTAAGTGTATAAAGGATGGCAGTGTAAGAGGTGGAAACTTAGAATTTAAAATTTAATCTAAGTCAAAAACACACTAAGTGGCAATAACAAAGCCAATGTCTTTCAGCTGCACCCTCCATCTGTACTTTGGAAGCAATAATACTGACTTTGGTTTTTTAAAATATTTTCCCCCACTTTTCTCCTGAAAAAGGACCCAAGATGGCTTCCCTTACACCATTACAAAGACAATATTTGAAAGCTAAAAACAGTAAGTTACACAAATATTTTAAAAGAATTAAATACACATACAGTATTTAAAATGTTAAATAAAAACATTACTAAAACGGATTTTGATACAACAAAATTACACACCATCCTGTTTCAAGGCCCCTCTTAAACAGCCAGTCACTAAGAGAAAGCCTGCTTGAAAATAAAGGTCTTCACTTGCTTGCAGAGGGATAGCAAAGACGAGGTGAACCTGGCCTCCTGTGGGAGCCAGTTCCAGAGTCTGGGAGCAGCAACAGAGAAGGCGCTCTTCTGTGACCCCACCAAATGCAACTGTGAGGGTGATGGGACTAGGAGATGATCTTAACATCTGGGCAGACTCATAAAAGGAGATAGTCTTAGACAGCTTGTACCCAACTTATTTAGGGCTTTATAGGTTAAAACCTGAAGTTTGAATTGTGCCCAGAAATGGATTGGCAGCCAGTGGAATTGCTGTAACTAGGGAGTTACATGATCCCTGTAACCAGCCCCAGTTAACAATCTGACTGTTTTGGATCCACTGGAAATTTCTGAACACTTTCCAAAAGTAGCCCTCTCTAGAATGCATTACAGTAATCAAGCCAGGATGTAACAAATGCATTACAGTAATCAAGCCAGGATGTAACAAATGCATGTGTCACCATGGCCAGATCAGACTACTCCAATTGGCACACTAGTTTTAACTGGGCAAATATATTCCTGGCCACCAATGAAAACTGGACATCCAAGCTGCGCACCTGGGTTTTCAGGAGTGTAAACCCATCCAGCACAGAGTGGACCCCTACATATTCTTTCATCTGCCTTTTGTATGATTAGGAGCACCTCTGTCTCCTCTGGATTAAATTTCAATTTATTCACCCTCATCCAGTCCATTACAGACACCAGACACTGATCTATCAGCAGTATAATTCACAATCTTATACAGTCTACTGAGGCAATATATGTAAGGGACTTACCAGTGCACTCTGATACACAGCCACTCACATGAAAACATCATTGGATTTAATTATAATTCCTACATAAATGTGGTGCAGCAACAACAAAAGCTACTGCAATTCTAGGCTACAACAGTAGAGGTAGAGTCCAAAACAACAGAAGCAACAGCTGTACAGTATTTTGCTTTCCTCAGCCCTCACTGTCCAGTTTAGTCTGTACAGTTTAGGAAAAACATTATAAAACTGAGTGTCCAGAGGAAGTTGCAACAATGGTAAAGGGTCTGAAAATGAGGAACAGTTAAGGGAGTTTGGGAAGGTTTAGTCTGGAGAAAGGAAGCCACGGAGATGATGTAACACCCATCTAAAAAGATATGGAAGACAGAACAATCTTCTTTTTACTTCCAGGAGGCAGAACCCGAAACAATTAGTTCAAATTACAAGGTTTTGACAAAAATGTAGGAAGAACTTTGTGACTGTAGAATAGTGTTGTTCCACTTCAACAAACTACTTTGAAAGATAATGGAGTTTTCTTCCCGGGGGGGGGGTAATCAATCAGAATTTAGACGCCCAGTTGGGGGATGCTTTATCTTTGGATCCCTTCATTTCCGCGCGATTGTACTAGATGGCTCTTGGGTGCACGTCGAACTCTTTAATTCTATGCAAACGACGGAAGCTTCAAAATGCTTGGGGTACCTAATCTATGTTTCCGGTAGTGTGCTGTTTTTTAAAAAGCTTGCTATGCCGCAGAGACCTATATCATATGAATATTCCCAGGTCACTGACAAAACATGGACCTTTTCCCCTCACCAAAATGGCGCTAGTAAAACTCCTTCCGTTCTTTCCCCACCACCAATGAAGAGCCGGCCGGGCGGTTCGGAGCCAACCAATGGGAGCCCTCGGCGGAAGCTGCGGAGGTCAAGATGGCGGCTTCCAGGGGCCTCCTTTCCCGTTGCAGGCAATTCGTGTCCGGTTTCTGGCGGAGAGGCGGTTCGGTTACGATTCCGTCCCGCGGATTCCGGCAGGGTAAGTGTCGATAGCTTTATTTTTCTTCCTCTGAAGCTTAAAACGCAGTAAATAGCAACTAAAGGTAAAGGGCTGGCGAAAGAGGACGGGCGGACGTGGTGGTTCCTCTGTGCTCGAGGAGGATGAAACCCTGAGACTTTCGTGTTTGTTGGTCGGTAGTAACCGCCGGAAAGCAAGCGGGGCGGGAGGAGGTTGTGGTGTGTTTTTTGCATCGCCTTCTGGCTTACACTGACTGAGGTGGCGTGACTTTGGCTGGGAGAATTTGAGTAATTAGAAGTGTAATAATTAGATAATTAGTATATTATTATACTAAGTCATGGAGAGGTGGGCTGTGGGTTTAACAGATACCAGCCTCAGTGGTGCAGCTTTTAAGAGGAAGTGGCTGATTTCTCAGTTTGGTATGGTGGTGTCCTTTTTTTGATTGTTACTTAGCGAAGCATTTGTTTACAATGTAATTCTAAACATCTTTATTCAGAAGAAAAGCTTAGAAATGTTATTTTTTTGGATTACAACTCACCATCATGGCTTATTTCTGTGGGAGTCTGGACAGTTACAATACAAAAATCAGTCTGGTATATTACCGCTTGTTGGGCAATTAAAGTGTCACTGACATGGAAGGCTTTGGGGTTCAATGAATTTTTCTTGAGGCTTAGGTATACAAAATTTGGGAGACTGAAAAAGAAGCACGAAAACACACTGCTCAGAATTAAGTTTTATAATACTGTATAATATTCTGTGAGATTTACAGCTAGGTAATATGAACACAACCATATTTAAATAAATTTTACAGTTACATTATCAGCTTGCAGTCTTTTTAAAGCCTCAGAATTTTTGTTTAGAACTCAACCTACACCCATTTCATCTGAAACCTTTGCCAAACATATCAATTTTATTCTGTATTTCATGTGCTTTAAAAGAACACATGAAATGTGCAAAGCTCTCTTTTCTATTTTCTTTTCTCTCCATTGCCCTTTCTTAAAAAGGAGAAAAGTTTCAATTTTTATGTTTGGCTTTTGAAAGCCATATAAATAACCTAAGATGTGGGAGGGCCACAAATCCAAGAACCCCACAATCAGAACATAGAGATAATAGTCCTCTTCTGTCGTTTATTTTAGGATTAAGAATTCAGGGGTATATTGCTTCCAAACATGGAACTTTTGTTTAGCTCTTCTGGCTGTATCTAAAATATACATAATAAGTAATGGGTTGATATTTTCTCTATCTCTGCTGAAGTATTTTTACATTGCACTTCTGTGACGTTTACCACATGGCCCCTGCTTGTTTCACCAACCAAAAGGAGCTCACACTATGTCCTCCCACCAGCAGATATCAATTGTGACGTTCCATCTCTTTCTCACTGCCACCAGTGGATTTCCTTTATCCACAATGTAAAAGACTTTAGTCA